TCACCTCGTCCTTGGAGATGCCCGCCTGTTTCTTGCGGTTCCACTCGTTATAATACAAACAGTTTCCATTCCGGTCAAAAATGTACAAGTTGTGAACGGTCATCTGGAACACAGACATCACACACCGAGTGTTCAGGTCAGGGACCTGTGGCCAGCTGTGGCTCTGAAACATCAGGACATGGAGAACATCTGGACCAGAGCTCCTCACATGTCTGCTTTAGCCCAGAGAGGTTCAGTTTACTGACAGAACCCAGAACCCAGAACCCACTCCCTGAAGGAGCTGAAACCAGAGTTCAGACTGATTGTATGTATTAAATCCATCAGGTCTCTCATTGATCATAAAACTAGCTGACAGCTGACTGCATCAGTCAGCTGTCAGCTAGTTTTATTCGTTGCTGCTTAAGTTGCAAATAAAACTTTTACTTCCGTCTAAAACGAGTCAGTTTGCTGTCAGAGCAACACAGCTGCTGTAAACACACACTCACAACGTGTTTCAGAGCTCACAGACATGTTGAATTCTGTCCAACACAAAGTAAGATCTGGACACAAATAAGAGGCACTTTTATGCTCATTTTAAAACTTTTTTGTGCTCAAGAAATCTCATCTTCCTCCTGATGCTGTTTCTATGTCAAATATTCTGCTGATAAGAAAACGACATAAAAACATTTTGAGTTCAATGTACTGCTAAAACAAAAATAAAAAATACAATAAAATAGAGTCTACCAATAATCACTAGATGTTTCAGGTGTGTGCCGAATCAAACAGGAGTTCCTCTAGAATCTACTGTGCACACATGTATTTCACATTACTCAGTTATTGTTCTGAAGTGCGCTTTTCAATTTGTGAATCAAAATCGCACGTTTTTCAAATGAAGTCTGGTGACGCTCCGGATTCAGGCAACACAGGACGGACAGCAAAAGAGCAGAAAATCTGTTAAAATGTCTTTTAAGAAAAACAGTTTTCTATGACTCGTACCATCAAATTATTATTGCCACAAATACTGATTTAAAAAAGAGAAACACATCTTTAAAATGTTGTTTATCTTACATTTTAGAATTCGGCTGCGGTGTTTACCTCCCCTTCCTGTTTCTCGTAGGACCCCTCTGCAGAGTGTCCGCTTACGTGCCAGACCAAAACTGTTTGGCGGTGTTGTATAAAGTTACGTTTAAGTTGTTGAAATACAGCAAACTGAAATATTGATTAGAAAACATAAAATTTAGTCAATGATATTAGTATGCCTGAGTTTTTTCGTAGCCTGAAAACGACTCTATTTGCGTAAATCTAACAGGTCACAGCGGCATGTCACGGGCAGCTCTGCTCCGCTTCAGTTTTGCAAAAAGAGTTAAGATGGCGGCAACAGCGTCTATGATGCCGTGCTTCAGACAGCAGATTACTTCTAGAAACGACATGGTTCCGGACTGGACCAGTCAGGAAGTCAGCACCGGGGTGAGTACTGGGGCTGTAGGACCGTAGCGGACCGACTCGGACCCGGTTCTGTCCCGGTGGAGGGGTTTTAAGCAGCTAAGAGTGGCTGAATGAGACAGCAGTTCTGCAGCAGCTAACAGCGGCTAACGTTAGCGCTGATTCACTGCCTGTTAAATTCTAAATAAAGTTCGGACCAGAGCGAGACTGGACCGGGTCGAACCGTGCTGGACTTAGTTCCGATGGAAGCATAACCTGCTGTTTAAAGAGGCTGTTAAATCATTGGGGTGAAGTGAAATGGCTAACCTTGGCTAATGCTAATAGATCTATTATCGGACAACCTGTCTGCGCTGCCTCTCGTGTCCGATAATGGGTTCACCCAGTAGAATATAGAGATTAAAGGCTTCAGACGAGGAGACATGAAAGAACACGAACCGATGATCAACACTGTCCGATAATGGGCGCAGAGTTAAAATGCATGTTGGTTTACTGTCAGCTGCTGATCTAACAGTATGTTCAGTGTGATGCCAAGTCTGTCTGTCTGTCTGTCTGTCAGACCACCATCATGGCGGTGGAGTACGACGGAGGAGTGGTGATCGGAGCCGACTCTCGCACCACTACAGGGTGAGAAAACCTCCAGTGTGAGGTGCTGATTATTGTGTATGAAGTGAACCCTGAATACTGACCAGTCTGTCTGTCTGTCTGTCAGAGCTTACATCGCCAACAGAGTGACGGACAAACTGACTCCGATCCACGACCGGATCTTCTGCTGCAGGTCGGTTCACCTCTGAAACACTCTGAGACCATCCAGCTCCAGAGGATTTATTGTGATTACTTATTTATTTATAGTACTTTTAAAGTCCCAGTAACGTTAAAAAGGCCCAACGTGGCCCACCGCTGTTTGACACTTTAAGGACCTGACCGGGGACTTTTTGAGAGCACCAGACCTTTAAGGACCTCAGGCTGTTAATGGGAACCTTTAAGATCTTAGAACCAGTTAAAAGTCCCACAGAAAGCTTTAGGAGGACGGAACCTTTTATTGTCACTTTATATTCCCCAAGCAGCCTTTTTGGAAGCTACAGCTGGAACGCGGTGATACGTTTGAAAAGCTAGAACCTTTCTATGGGAACCTTTAATCGGACTTTGAGAACAATCACAAGGTTTTCTCAGGAACCTTAAAGGAACCCAGCAACTGTTGACAGGTTTGAGGAGGCGTGCTTAACTGGATCTTTTTAAAACCAGAACACTTTAAGGAACTTTTGAATACCTGTATCTTCTTAAAGCACAGGAACCTTCAAAGGAAGCTCAGAACCTTTTCAGGACACAGAAACCTTCTAAGAAACTCCCTCATCTCTACAGAGAACATCATGAAACGGCAACATTTCATGAAACTTTCACTGAAACCTGGGAACAGCTTCAGAAACTCAAACCTGTCAGAGGAGAGTTTAGAGGAAGCCCTGAGCTGTGTTCACAGCTGTACTGCTGAAGTTTTAAAGGTTTTTTTATAAGGAATCCAAAAACCTTTATTAAGAAGCCTACTTTTTTTTTTACTTTAAATTTAAAAGGATGGATGGATGGATAATTTAAAAGGAACTTAAAGTCCCAGAAGTTTAAAAGGTCTGATGCTCCTACATTTACATTTTCCTTTAGAGATCTTTAGAC